TGCTATAAAATATAAAAGGTAGCTATAGAAAATAATATTTTAAAATAATTTTGGTTTATAATATATAAGGTGTACCTTTGCTATAGGATGTCAAATTTCCAATACTAATTAGTATGTTGTTGGAACAGACCAAGAGCACTAAACAAGTCTCATTATTGGGGCAAGTATCACTTTTAGCCCACGACTGAAACTATTTAGATACGGCTACAAAAATATATAAAATTTATATATTTTTTATATATAACATACATAAATGTATATATATACAAAAAATATATAGTTTTTTAGCTATTATTTGGAGAGCGGCTATATAATATAATTTTCCCGTATTAATACTTCATTAAATTTTCTCTAGTAAATGAAGTTATTTTGTCTATCTTATCAAAAGAGTCGAGTATTGGCATCGATGAAGAGATAGAAGAAAAATGGATGAAGAAAATCAAAATAAGGCCCTATAAATCCATAGTTTTTTCAAGATTTAAGAATGCATAGCAATAGAGTTGGAAACAGTAGGGTCTAAATTCTATCCTAGTTCGTCAGAAATTTACATATTATTGAAACTTAAGTTTTCATTAACGTGGCCATGCTCACAAAAATACAGTAGTTTTTGTAGGGAGCGTTTTTGTTATATGACTTTTACGCGACGCGAATCCGAATAAAGTAGTTCCCTTATTTTCTCTGTTTGTTGAGTCTCACTTATCATGACTGAGCACCACCAAAACATGTGGTGCAACGGATGGAGCTGCTCTTTCCTTAATCATAGGTCTCGGGTTCGAACCCTAAGAGTGGTTCCCACAGAATATGATCATATGTAACGCGAATCCAGATATAATCGAGTACCAATGTAGGTACCGAACACCGAGTGAAAAACAAATAAACAATTGACATTTCAAAGAATAAATGGCATTGATAATGATCATGACTTAGAACTTGTATTATTAACAAGACGTGGTTACAAAAAAGTATAAGGAGAACAAAAAAAGATAGGATAACAAAGAGAAATAAAATATAGTTTGCTATCTATAGGAAATCCAATGATCTATCTTTAAACCTATATTTGAGCATCTTGACAACCCATATACTTCCTAAACAAGTAAAAAGGTGGGACTTCAAAAAAAAAAAATTAATAATGAGGCTATACTACTTTCTCAAATAGGACCAACCTATTATCAGCTAGTCTAGAATTGTATGCTGATTTTTTGTACTCAAACCATGTAAATTCTTTGTACAAGCTGTCTTGATCTTCTTTCATTAGTGAAGCCAAAGGGGCTATCTTTTCACTCAATGGTGGCCCTCCAAAATAAATCATTGAAAGCCTTGATTTCAAACTATTTGCCAAAACCCTATGCTTTACACTCTTAAACCTCCCATTGGTCATCACCTGCAAAATTCACCACCATTAGCAAAATTGCACTCTAGTAAAATAGTAGTACTAATGTGTAATAATACAATACTTTATATGTACAGTGGGATGGATGAGATTCTCTACCATTAACTAAAAGTGCTGGTTAGAATGTTGGTAATGAAGAATGTAAAAAAAAATAGGCAGCCCAGTGCACTAAGCTCCCCTTATGCGAAAAATGAGTGAAAAATAAATGACTACTTGGCAAATGAGTGAAAAATAAAAGCAAGGCAAGAAAGTAGAAGCTTCCACTCGATAAAAACTAATCTTTTGAAAAAAAAACATGGACCTTTTATTTGTTTAATGTCACCAAAAAATACCAAAAAAGTTACGATAGAGTGATAATAACTCTTTTATTTTTTAGTTAGAGGTCTCGGGTTTAAATTCCAAGTATGGAGTCGCTTTTGTTAAGGAGTATTTACCCCCAATGGGGCTTTTGGGCGCGAATTCAAATTTAGTCGGGTTTCAATGCGGATACCGAACACCGGGTGAGAAACCAAAAAACAGATGTCACCAAGAAATAAAGTTCTCGGGTTTGAATCCTGAGTATAGAGTTGCTTTTGTTGAGGAACACTTTATCCCCAATGGACATTCCCAGCGCGAATTCAGATTTAGTCGGGTTCCAATACAGATACCGAACAACGAGCGAAAAGACAAAAAATAGATGTCACCAAGAAATAGAGGGCTATACCTGCAATGAATCACCAACATTGATGAAGAAAGAATTTTGATCAGGTGGTACAGAAATCCAATGTCCATCTTCAAGTGAAATTTGAAGTCCAGAAGTGTTATTTGATCTTAATAAAGAAAT